TTCCTCAGAGAAGTAGAAAGCCACCGAAGGATGTCAGCGGGCAGAGAGATGTTCAGGTCTTCATTGCCCAAAGGTCCCCCTGTCGGTGTTTGGAGAAGGTACCGTAGAGAGGTGGGCAGGGACTCAGGACAGCAGGCAGGTGGCAGTGGCGGTGGCTTCGGAGAGAGCACGAGACCATCTGGGCGTTGGGATGGAGTAGCGGGGCGAGGATGAAAACCTGAAAACCATGCATGCGCAACACCATCTGCGACAAGTCAAGCATATGGTAGAACCGCAACTCTCCACCAACAAGAAGCTGAAGCTTTGGTTTGCCATGAATTTAAACAAGGTTCAAGGCTCCTTGCTCCGTGACCAGGACGAAGGCTGCTTCTTCTAACGAGAGCAAGAGCACTCAGCATTTCCACAAAACTTTCTGTGTGTGCCGGGCACCGTTCGGCATCGTTGCCCGTGCTTGCTTTTTCCAGTCGCTTCCATGGTTCTCCTCGGGGAGGTCAACTTCATGCTAAAAGATGAAGGAGGAAATGAGAGGGATGAAGGCAGCTTAAAGCCATGAAGGCTGCAGAGGAGTCTCATGGAAGGCGGGCGGACCCAAGGACCAGAAAGCGGGAGGCCCCGGGGGGCTCATCTCTCTGATTCTTTCCACCTCATTTTTCAGATGAGGGAAACTGAGGCCCAGAGAGACTAAATAGCGTGTCTAAGGACATACAGTCGGTAGTGTTCGGCTGAACATTTCCACTGAATGCATTAAACAGTGGAGCTGACAATCAGACCTCGGAGGGGTGGGGGCTGGGGCGGTCAGGGAACTGGGGAGTGGACGGGGAGGGCTGAGTCTCCAGGGAGCTGTGGTCATGCTGAATCCGCTCCAGTGACCTTGGGCCTTGCAGTCTGCCCTCCACTCAATATCCAGTTCCCAGGAGAGTGTGGGGGACCCGCGTTCCCCCTGGCTAAGCTACAACAGAACACCCCAGTTGACTATCTCACCGGCAAGGGGTCATCTGCAAAGATCACCAGGTGCCACCACCAGGAAAGCAAGGGGGAGGGTTCCAGTTGACATAAGAGGCCTGGTGCACCCACTTGGTCACTTTCCATCTCAGAGCATGCCCCTACCTTCCACGCACTACCCAGCTCACCCCCCCCCGCCCCCGTCCCCCAGGCACCAGATCCTGCCCCGGTTTCCTCCAGCTATTCTGGAAGGTTTCCCATTCTGCCAGTCTGGGTTGGGGTCCTGTCATTCTTTACCTGCATTCCTGCAAGCTGCAGCTTCCAGTCCAGACCTCACTAAGACCATGCCCCTATTCAGAAGCATCCTCGAGAAACAAGGTCTGATTTTGATAGGCTATGATAAGCTCCTTCATGCCCACCTAAACCCACAGGCTGCCCAGCCCCCGGGGCCTCCATGAGCCCCTCGCCCCTGGAGCCTCATCCACCCCCTCGCCTCCTGCTGGCAACAGCGTGCCCATCACAGCTTATGATTAACTGCAGCCGATGCATGACCTTGTTCACAGTCTCTGTGCCTTTGCTTTTGCTGTTCCAAGCCCTCTCGCTGTTCCTCGTGTGAATACCCCTCACTCAGCACAGACGCCGCCCCCCTCCCGTGGCCCCCTCATCCTTGCCCCCATAACGTCTGTACATGTTCCAGTTGCTACAGTTTCGTATTGTTTTGGAATGTTCTGTTCATTCCATCGTTTGGCAAATATTTATTGAACAGCTACTATGTGCCAGACACTGTGAGGATTATGGCAGTGAGCAAACCAAATTCTAGCTGGAGGGCAACAGGGAGCAAAGGAAATAAGTAGGCAGAGAGCATGTCCGGGGGCAACGAATGCTCTGGAGAGAAATAAAATGGAGGAAGAAGACTGAAAGCGGGTATCTGGGGCAGGGCCTCCTAGGGAGGGACGAGAAGGGCTAGAACACGTCCCTGGGGGTTTGTAGGCCCCTATTGGAGGCCTTATGCTTTCCTCTCAGTGAAATGGGAAGCAAGGGCCCCCAGATGCTGCCTGGAGAAGAGCCTGCTGGTGGGAAAGGGCAGCGCAAGTCTGGTAGGGAGGAGGCCAAGAGTCTGCAGCAACAGGACGGGTGTGAGAAGTGAAGGGAAGCGACATCTGCCTCCTTCCCCGGTGGGTGGCCCAGAGGAGATGCCCAGCAAACATCTGGTAAAGAGCAGAGGAAGGGGCTTCCAGATGCCTGCCTTCCTTCCCCAGCATCACTGGTTTCCTGGGTGACCACCCAGAGGGAGATTCCAGGCAGTCATTCCTGGTTCTTGGCCTCGTCTCTGCCCTTCAACAGGAGGGCAGATCCGCGCAGAGAAAGCCCCCAGCCTGTCGTGCCCCGGGTGGGAGATCACTCCCTCCGTGGGACACCCGTGCACATGGCCGAGAGGCGAGGGGGACGCGCTTTTGGAGGAGCTGCGTGTATGCTCACCATGCCTCGTGCCTCACCCCCTGCTGAACTTACATAACAGGGAAATTGGGAGAACAGCCTCTGGCAGTGGAACTTCGGAAATCTGGGAGAGTTACATGCCAGGCTGAATCAATCAGAACCCCCTTGCCCAGGGCAAACACAGAGGCTCCTTCTGAAGATTGGATGGGAGCCCCGCCCAAGCCTTCACAGACTCATTCTTGCATTTCAGAAGAGAAAAAAAAATAAACCACCCAAGGCCTAATCCCCAAAGCTGGGGTCAGAGGAAGTAGAGGTCGTTAGCTAGAACCCATATTCGCACGCTGTTTTTTGTTCTTGTTACCCAAACTTCCTGGGCAGGGACTCCCAGGCCAAGTGGGCGGGAAGAAGGGTCCTTAAATGGGTCCCCTCTGGGCTGCTCATTCCAGAAGCTCAAGCCACTGGGAAAGGCTGTGTCAAAGGTATTCTCTCCACTCCCCCTCCCACCCCGTCCCCCAACCCCGTTCTTTTATTTTTTCCCCCCTAGGTGGGACTATCCAGCGTCTTTCAGCCTCCCTTTGCTCACCTGTAAAACGGACTCCTAACAGTTCCTTCTTCATGGGCGCAGCCATGGAGTTTTTGTGAGGATCAAAGGGGGTGATTGAGGGGGAGTCATCCACAGGGACACCTGGGGGCAGAGTCGGCACAGGTGAGGCGGGTGGGATGCAGAGCTGTGGGAAGGTGGACTGGTCCGAGGAAAGGAATTCCATCAGCTCTCCTTGGGGTGCCAAGTGCAATGTTAGATGCTCTCCAGCTCCATTAATCTCTGTAATAATCTCTGTAATAAGAGGCGATGCCGTTATTGATGCCGTCCACAGAGGGGGCTCCTTCCCAGGTACCCCAAAGTTCTGAGTGCTGGACCTGGGGTCACACCGGGCTCTTCCACCCTGGGCCGCCCAGCCTTGGTGGCCAGTGGCCAGACAGAGCTTGCTGCCTTGGTTTGATCCCCCAAGTCTGAGGAGGGAAGCAGGACCCTCCTGTAGAGCTGTGTGGCTGGGGTCGTGGTCAGCTGGGGTGCCCTGGATGCCCGCAGGGCCCCTCCTCTCTGTGCAAAACGCCTGCGGTGGGGGTCAGCACCGTGGACAGGGGACCCAGTGGAAGCTATGAGAAACCGCTTGCTGGAATTTGAGCAGGATTACACACACACACACACAGCTATTTCCAGTTTGCAAAAAAAAAATTATATATACCATATATACATATATTTACATACATACATGTGTATCTGTATACTATATATGGTATATATAATTTTTTTTGCAAAATGGAAATAGCCTTATTGTGGGTTTTCTTTTTTTTTCTGATACTAGAAGTTATGCAGTGTCTGAAAGTGGTTGGATATCTCTGGGAGGGACGGTAAGGAATTGCCGAGGGAAAAGGGGGAAGGGAGGTTTTTCTCTGTGCCCCTTTCGTATCTTTTTACCTTTTCTACCGTGAGCACGTGTTACCTATTCAAAAAGGTACAAAACATTTTTAAAAATGCAAGCTCGTTGCAAAAGAAGTCAAACACCACAGAAGATGAACGCAAAGATCATTACCAATCCCACCCCTACCTGTCGTCACCATGTTGGTGGCTATCCTTCTGGTCTTATCTTCCATGTGCAAGAGCTCACGTACACACGCGCACACGCGCACACACCTCTAGGCACATGCCTAGTGTTCCTGCTGTTCTGTAACCTGTTTTCTTTCTTATGTCTCGTGCTTATGCCTCGTGCCTGGGACACATCCGGCACCGAGAGCAAGAGAGCTGCACCTCCCTCCGAAATCCTGCACAATCATCCATTACATAAGTGCTGCGTACCTCATTTCCATTGCTGATGGCCGTTTAGGATGTTTCCAGTATTTCTGTGTTATATGCAGCCTTCATGACCTTGCTTATTCATGAATGTTTAGGAACGCTGAGATGTCTGTAAGCTCCTGAATGTGGACCTGCGGTATCATAGAGAAATACATTGTAAAGGCTCCTGCTGGAGGTTGCCAGATGGCCCCCAGGAGAGCCATCCCAGTTTGCCAGTATGGTAACTGGCTTGCACCGCTAGCAGGAATCCCCTCCGCACTTCTGTGCGGAACTCTGAAGCTCTGAGAGATTTCTGCTGGCACGCACTCTGTGTCCCACAGGTGTTAAGGCACAATCTGGCTTAAAGACCAAGCCTGGTTCCACTGCAAAGCAACCCGTGTTTTTGCAAACGGTCGCGGAGCCAGAAAGGTGGCGCAGGTAGGCTGATGCTGGGTTTTCTTTAATCAGCTGGCTGTGGAGTCACAACCTGAGCCGGCCAGTCTAATCCGGAAAGGGGCCTGGCTGGGGGCGCAGAGCTCTTGGAGTGTTTGCCTGCCCGTGTCTTCCAGTTTGCAAGCGGGCAGAGGTGGGAGTGGGGCTTGAGAGATGCCAGGAAGGACCTGCCCCAGCACAGTGCTGGGAACTCACCGTGAGCAATTAGGGTCGCGTGTCATTGCTTCCTGGCCCTCCCTGCAGATGAGTTTATCATCAGCTCAGGGGGTGTGGAGAGGGCCAGAGGGTACCAGCCATCTGGGTTAGGGAGCTGAGAAGGCAAAAGCATGCCATTTTCCCAGCGCTCCCGGGGAGATCGTCCTCTTCCTACAAAATTAACGCGGTGTTGGAGCAGTGAGGGTGCTAGCCCTGCAGCCCCCGGGTCCAAGGTGTTCTCCACCCCCTCACCCCCTACCCCCAGGCACCATGAGCAAATTCAGTGAGGTCGTGCAGCGGGCCAGAGCCGCGTTCAACTCGGGCAAGACCCGCCCGCTGCAGTTCCGGATCCAGCAGCTGGAGGCGCTGCGGCGCATGATCAAGGATCATGAGAAGGACATCGTGGGAGCGCTGACCGCCGACCTCCACAAGGTGCGCCCCGCTTCCCCCCACCCACCCCGGAGGCTGGAACAGCAACAGGAAGGGTCGCTGCTCGCGTCTGGGACATCTACTGCGCGCCTGGCGCTCTGTGCCCAGCTCTTTGCCTAGAACCGCACCTTGTCCTCAAAGCAGGCTGCCTGAGGTGCGACCCTTTTATAGAGGAGGAAAAGTGCAGCTCAAACCATCAGACGCTGAGATGGGGCACTCAGGCCACTCCTTCCAACCCATTCTGAGCCCCGGGTTTCCCCGCAGCCCAGCGCAGGGGGCGGCAGCTCCTTCCCCCCATCTGCCTGCCATTCCCTCCTGGCTTCACTTCCTTCCGCATCCAGCCCAGAGCACGAGGCCACCCTATTTAGCCATGTCCTGCGCACAGGACACCCTGAACTTCTTGTCTCTCATTCCCCCAGCCCTCAGCCCCATGCACGGCCACCTGGTCCCCCCCCACCCCCACCGGAGAACATCCCAGCCTGGGGGCCCAAAGGGCACCCCGCTCTACAGGGTATCCTCCCTCCCTCCCCACCCATCCCTCACCCTGAGCAAAATCAGACACCTCCCAATTCTCAAACCCTTCACCTTGCTGCCCCCAAGTTGCCTGGCCCTGCTCCCACAGTTTGATTTTGCCTTGGAGAAGAGCAGGGGGTTAGCTGGAGCTCATCCCCCTCCTGTGCTGGACCCTTTGCTGCTGCATTTTTAAATCTCTGGTTCCTCACCTTAATACGGAAACTTCACAAATTCTGTTTTGCTCTTTCACAGCCGAAGTGCATGGAAGAGTTGTGTATTTTGCTGTCTGCTCCTCCTTTCTCCTCACCCCCGCACAATGGCTTCCTCCCCACCCACTCCAGCAGGATTCTTGAACCCTCCGCTCATTCCCTCCTTCCCCTGCTGAGGTTCTTCTGGGTTTTGTCCTCCCTTTGGCAGTCTTTTTTCCTGCACCTGTTTCTTCGAGGTGGCCTTCTTAGGGCTCCATCCTGAGTTCAAGTCTCATTTCAATCTATAAGCATTCCTGGACACACCTCTGCTCGGTCCTCCCCACCCTTTAATGACCTTCAAATCACTGCCCAGGTCTGAGGTCCTCGCAGGCACCATGAACTTGACATTTCCAAACCTGCCTGGGCCCCCAACGCTGTCAGAAAGGGACCCTCGCGGGCCCACCAACCCAGTGGCAAATACTTAGCTTTGCTCACACCCCCTGTGCCTTCTCTGGCCCAGGTCCCTGGCCTGGGGAGCCCCCAGTGAACACCCACCATCACCCTGGCAGCTGAACATAACCGGGCTGTGTCCAACATGCTGACCCAGCAGTCCTGTGAGGTCCAGATCACACTCCCATTTTTCAGATTAGGAGGCTGAGGTTAGGAGAGGGTAAGCAGCTCAGTCAGGGTCCCAAATCTAGGGAAGAGTGAGCCAGGAGCACAGCCAAGCCCTGGTGACTCCCTCGATCTCCAACCAGTGAACTCACACGGAGCCCTGTCTCCACGGCAGAATGAATGGAATGCCTACTACGAGGAGGTGGTGTATGTCCTGGAAGAGATCGAGTACATGATCAAGAAGCTCCCCGAGTGGGCTGTGGACGAGCCCGTGGAGAAGACTTCCCAGACCCAGCAGGACGAGTGTTACATCCACTCAGAGCCCCTGGGCGTGGTTCTCATCATCGGCACCTGGAGCTACCCCTTCACCATCACCATCCAGCCCGTGGTGGGCGCCATTGCTGCAGGTACGTGGGCCCCGTTTCAGGAGGGAGTCACCAGGGATCACGGTCCCACCCCTCCTGAGCTTGGCCAGAGATGGCGGGGAGCTCAGGCCTGGGGGAAGATGGAGCCCCGGGCTCAGGTCGTGGTCTGATGGATCTGCCTTTCACGCGGTCTGATGGACACAGAATGGATGGGGCTCCAGGCTTGGTCACTGGGAGGGCAGGACTCTGACTCCCTGATCTCTGCAGGGAACGCAGTGGTCATCAAGCCCTCGGAGCTGAGTGAGAACATGGCCAACCTGCTGGCCACCATGATCCCTCAGTACCTGGACAGGGTGAGGTGCTCGCCGGGTCTTTGGGGGTTGAGAAACAGTGCATTTTTGCAGCAAGAGGCTAAGCCTTGGGTTGGGGCAAGGACAGTCGGCCTCTCCCACAGAGATTAAAGGAGCCCCCGTGTTGGGGAGTGGGGGGCGGTGTTCTATTTGATGGTGGCTGGCTCGCCAGGGGGAGGAGGGGTTGTGGTCTTTCCTGAGCCTCGTCTCTCTCCTTGCATGGAAGGACCTGTACCCGGTGATCGATGGGGGTGTTCCCGAGACCACAGAGGTGCTCAAGGAGAGGTTTGACCACATCCTGTACACCGGGAACACCGCCGGGGGGAAGATCATCATGATGGCCGCAGCCAAGCACTTGACCCCCGTCACACTGGGGCTGGGGGGAAAGAACCCCTGCTATGTGGACAAGGACTGCGATCTGGACATTGCCTGCAGGTGAGGTGCGCGGCGCATGTCTGTGCTGGAACCTTCCAGCTCACGCAGACCAAAGTCTTGCTCTGAGTCTAGGCAGCCTCTGGCTTCTGCCCCCTGAGAGCTTTCCTCCAGAGCCCAGCCCCTTGTGCCTCGATCCCGGAATAAGATGCTTGTCTGGGGGGAGCCTCCCGTGCCTTTCGGAATGCAGTCTAATCTGGAATTTTCACAGACGCATCGCCTGGGGGAAATTCATGAACAACGGCCAGACCTGTGCGGCCCCCGACTACATCCTCTGTGACCCCTCCATCCAGAACCAAATTGTGGAGAAGCTCAAAAAGTCCCTGAAGGTGAGTGTGGGCCCCCCGGGGCTGAGTGAGAGAGAGGCTACAAAGCAGTGAAGTGGGTCTAGACTTTAGAAAACACTGGATTTTCTTTTTTTCTGATCCTAAAAGTAATCTACACTCACTGTAGATCATTTGGGAAAAGATTATAAAAGAAAGAAACAAAAAACATTCCACCCAGAACCCCACCACCCCAAGACAATCACTGCTCACGTGTTGGTATGTTCCCTCCCATTTCCTTTCTGCGAATGCTCACATTTGGTCCTATCGCCAAGTCCACACAACCGTGCATATATTTCTTTCAAATAATGCTGTCTCGCGGCAGTTCGTACGCAATGAACGTTTGGAGTACCCCGATGTCATGGCAGTCTGGTAGCTCTTGGTGTCGCTGTGCACCAGCTGGGTGGTGCCCCCCCCTGTGATCCAAGGTCACCTCTCAGCCAATGGCCATGATGAAGGTCCGCATCTTTACCTGAGGCCAGCCTCCTCTTCTCTATAGGAGTTCTATGGGGAGGATGCCAAGAAGTCCCGCGACTATGGAAGGATCATTAACTCCCAGCATTTCCAGAGGGTGATGGGCCTGATGGAGGGCCAGAAAGTCGCCTACGGAGGCACTGGGGACGCGGCCACCCGATACATAGGTGCGTGTGCTCGCCCTTGGTAAGAGCACTGCTGCCCCCCCGTTATACCCCCCCACCCCCACCGCCCAGGCTGCCAGGGTCCCCGCAGGTTGGTGGCGAATGAGCACAGATCCTTGGGGAGCAGGCACGACCCAGTGGCCTGGGGTGGGCTGTGGGGCTGTCGGCAGGCAGGGGCCTAGCCCCAGCCCAGAAGCCCTCTGCTCACAAGGCCCAGAGGGCAGCTCCCTCTTCCCCCCACCCCTGCGTCAGCAGGGGATATGGACCGAAAGACCACAAGACCAGCAAGAGCTGAGCTGGAGGGGCCCCCAGGGCCTGGGCTTGCAGGTCACCAGATGCGACCCCACTTTGCACCCAGTTTGGCAGGGAATGAAGAGCTCCAGCAGGGGCTCAGGTGGCGGGGCAGGGCACAGTGCCTGCCCCCTCACAAGGTGGACCCTGTGTCCTCCCCGCTCCCCCATCTCGGTTATACACAGTTCTCCCCATGGTCTGCCGGGATGGAGCCGGGCAGGTGGAGGCCTCGTCCAAGCCCCACCTGAGCCTCGGCAGCCTCACCTGTACACAGGAATGGAAGGAAGAAGCTAGATGCCGGGGCTGCCAGGCGGCCGGGGGCCTCGGCAGCGGCTGATCTTGCTTGTGTCCTGCCTCAGCCCCCACCATCCTCATAGACGTGGACCCCCAGTCCCAGGTGATGCAGGAGGAGATCTTCGGGCCCGTGATGCCCATCGTGTGTGTGCGCAGCCTGGAGGAGGCCATCCAGTTCATCAGCCAACGCGAGAAGCCCCTGGCTCTCTACGTGTTCTCTCTAAACGACAAGGTGGGCCTGGGCTGCCCTCCCCCCGGGGTCCTGGCATCATGGGAATAGGAGCTAGGGGTCCATGGACCCGGGTTCAGATCCCAGCTGTGTGACCTTGGGCAAGTCACTTAACCTTCTGAGCCCCTTTCTCAGCTCTGAAACCAGTCGTTTCCCACAAAGTGTTTGACACCTGGGGAGAGTGGGAGGCCCCAACTGGGGTTCAGACCGCAGTGTGGGTCTGCCTCCACCAGCTTGGCCCTTGAGGCTCTGGGATGCGCCCAGACAGGGTGGGGAGGGGCCTGGGGTGCCCCGGGAAGGAGACTGAGGCAGGGGCTGGGTGCCGTGGCAGGTGATTAAGAAGATGATTGCAGAGACATCGAGCGGTGGGGTGACAGCCAATGACGTTGTGGTCCACACCTCTGTGCACTCCCTGCCTTATGGGGGTGTGGGTGAGTCTGGGGCTGAGCTCATTGCCCACCTGCCCCCTACAGATGTCCCCCCTCTCCCAGCCCTGGGTTGGGAGTTCAGGAGGGACCTCAGACCCCCACGAACCCTCCCCTGTGGACCTCTGGCTCCTGTCAGCATATCCACCAGCCACGTTTGACCTCGAGACCCGAGAGGCTCCTAGAGGCCCCCTGGTACACCAGGCCTGCTTCATGGAGGCCCCGAGAGAGGGGACAAGGGCCAGAGGTCACACAGCTCTCTGGTGGCATCGCTGAAAGCGAACTCTTCAGGGCACTCTCTGTTGTCCCCAGTGTGGACTCCCTGGGGGATCCTCCAGGGCTCGGCCATCCCTGGGAGGCTCAGAGAAGGGGTGCATGAGGGCTGTGGGCGGGGGCTGGGGGTCTCAGGCCACCTGGGGCTGAGCCAGCTTCCCCCCCACCTGCAGGAAACAGTGGCATGGGCTCCTACCACGGCAAGAAGAGCTTTGAGACCTTCTCCCACCGCCGCTCCTGCCTGGTGAGGCCTCTGCTGAATGATGAGTCCCTCAAAGCCAGATACCCGCCGAGCCTGGCCAAGGTGAGAGGCGGGGGCGGAGGCTGTCCCAGAGACCAGGCTGCAGGGAGCCTCTGGCCCAACAGGACATGCGCCTTCCTGTCCCCTTGTGTCCTCTTCACAGATGAGCCGTCATTGAAGTGGACCTGGCTTCCCCGTGCTGCACCCCTGCCTCTCTGCCCAGCCCTAGGAGGATTGTTCCTGGAGCCCCCCTCTTGCTCCTCTGTGGATCAGTGCATGCCCCCACTCCCATCTGGGCCCTGGGCTTCCCTTCCCCAAGTCCCCGCTGCCCCTTTGCTGGACATAGACCAATAAAAGTTCACCAGCCAGACAAATGTGTGTGTGTGTGTGCATGCTTCCTTTGCACCCCCCCTCCATTCTCTCCAGTCCCACCCACCCCCCCTGCCAGTTCTCATCCTGACTCTCAGCGAAAGTCTCCCCAAGGTGCCGCATTGGCCCCCGGGGGGCATGAGGCAGGAGGCACTGGTGTCCGGGAGACATTAATCTTGCGTCTAGACCATGGGAGTCCGCTCCATTTCTGGAGTGTATCCAGAGAAGGCAATGGCCAAGGAGGCTGTCTTGATGGCACGTGGCTCAGAAACTGGAGGCCAATGTGCTCCTGTCAAAGTAGGTTTGACCCCTGGGCTAAGTACCACGGAAAATGGTACCACTGAGTGGTCTTCTTTCTTCTGCTCTTGCTCCTCCCCAGGTCATTCTTGCTCCTCCCCAGATGAGATTGCTAGAGAAAAGCGTCTGCCTTCAGCTCAGGTTGTGATCCTGGGGTCCCGGGATCGAGCCCCTCCTCCCTCTTCCCCTGCTCGTGTGCTCGCGTTCTCTCTCTCTCTCTCTCTCTCAAATAAATAAATAAAATCTTTTTTTTTAAAAATCAGATCATGGGCACCTGGGTGGCTCAGTTGGTTGGGCGACTGCCTTCGGCTCAGGTCATGATCCTGGAGTCCCGGGATCGAGTCCCGCATCGGGCTCCCTGCTCGGCGGGGAGTCTGCTTCTCCCTCTGACCCTCCTCCCTCTCGTGCTCTCTCTCATTCTCTCTCTCGCAAATAAAAAAAAAAGATCATGCCACTGTGAGGGCAAATAATTATAAAAAGAGGCTTGATGCCCCCACCCCCGTCACAAACAGAGGAACAGATTTTTCTCCCCTGGTAAATACAAACTGACTTCCAAAAATTTGTCATTGTATGTTGTCTCTTTGAAACGTGTGGAAATCTTTTTTTAAAAGCTAAAAAAGCCTCTGGCCAGCTTACTAAGTCAGGAGCTCTTTCTCAGGGACCTGGGAGCCGCCTTTTGGAAAGGAGACCATCCGGGGAAACAGCGCTCCCTATCTCCTCAGGTCGGAGCCGCACTTGGCCAGCACTTGACCCCAAGTTGCAGAATTACCTACCTCCTGTCATATAGACGTTTGCCCCTGGAGGAAGCCAATTAGTTAGCACAGATAGTGTCCCCAAGTACCAGGTGAGGTTAGGATGAACTCTGTGTGACAAATGGTGCTGCCAAGTCCTCTTATCGAAGGACTAGTTATCCTTCATCTTGAGAACGTGTGTGTGACGGAATGTTCCGCCTGGCTGTGTAAGGTGGTGGGATTCCTTCTGTCTCTGCCTGGGGTATGCATCACATTCTGCTTTAATGCCTCCTGAATCAGAAATCTTCGCGGAGAGGTTTCCTGGGTTGTGAGATTTAGGTTTTAATTCTATTCCCCCAACACCACCTTCTGTTTAAAATCCTCAGGTCCCTAAGTTGCCCTGCAAGGGGGCTGTATGATCTGGGCCCCGCCTTACTCTCTGATCCCAGCTGATATCTCAAACTCCCCATCCAACACATACATCACCCAAAGCCTCATGGCAGGTGTGTCTCATCACCCCTGTCTCAGCCCAAACCTCAGCGCCCCCAAGTCCTTCCCCATTCTTTATCACTCACCTTGCTTTGTGTCTCCAAAATGCTTCTTATCATCTGTCCTTAACTTGATCTGTTCATCTATTTGTAGCCTGTGTCTCCCCATTAAAATGAGAGCAGTTACCTTTGTCTGTTGTATTCACTAGAGGCTCCCTAGAGGCTAAAACAGTGACTAGCGCATAGTAGGTGCTCACTAAATATTTAAGTGCATGAATGTATTGTGGGGATGAAACAGCCCAGAAGCTGAAACCGTATTAACCCTAAAGACAACATCCCGATCAAAGACTTCGTGTCCCTTGTCTTCCCTGAGCTTAGGCCCCACAGGCATTGCTCTGATAAGTGAGAGAGCAGAGCCCCCCTACTCCAGGCCAGAGCTGGGAGGAAGGAGAAAGCCTTAGCTGGTCCCCACCCCAACAACCGCCCCCCCCGCCCCCACTCCTTCTCTCCTTCACCGCCATCCACCTGCAGCTCTATGAGTTAGTCTCATGAGCCCATTCACAGATTAGGAAACTGAGGTTGAGGAAGTCCTGTCACTTGGTTTCATGTCACTGTGCCAGTCACAGTGCCACGTCCCTGTAGCATCTGCTCTTTCCTGATACCATGGAAATGTCACCCACGGTGACGTTTTGAATGGCTCCTCCAAACCCTTGCACGAGGAGCTGTTGAGAGAGCTGGAAGCACCCAGCTCAGAGAAGAGATGGCCCAGGGTTTCCAAGGACTTGACCTGTGTTATTCCTGAGGGAAGATTTAGAGGAGAAGTGAAACCCCTAATTCTCTTCCTCCTTCCTCTTCCTCTACTTCCCACCCTCCTTCTGCCCTTCCTCTTTACTATTCTTATCAAACATACACCTTGCTGTGTAACCTGTTTTAGTCCGAACGTCCCCAACCCGACCTGTTCTGGTCTAATCCTATTTCCAAACTGGATTTGAACTCAAAAGAAAACAAATGGAGGGGGTGGAGAGGGAAGAAAAACAACTTGATTTTGTCCCAACACCGTGATTCAATCTACTGTTTTTCTTTCTACTGTTTTTCTTGGTTGAAGGAATGGGCCAAAAAACATTTGCCCAATCATGATTCAACCTTTCCAAACAATTGCCATTGTCCCGAACATAAAAGGCCAAGAATCGTCACAACTCATGTGTTACCCAGGGAAAGCAGGTGACGTTTCTGGGTTGCTCATCGCAATCCACACCTCGCTGGACAGAGTGCACAAGGGGACACCTGTCACACTCTCTGTCTCTGGCCATCTCTGAGGTCAGGCAATGGGGAAACCCACCATGCTGCACTCCAGGAGTCTGAAGGGAGGGCAGATGGCAGCTATGGATGCCCGTCTCCAGCTCTGCTTCTGGGGTCCCCTTGGCTCTGCCCTTTCGGTGGGTCCCCATCACCCTCGGGCCAGCCCCTTCTCTGTCCCTGCTTCCCCAGAGTTTCTTTGCAGTCCCCTTGACTGGTATGGACTGAAGTGAGGACCTTGGTGACTGTTGCCTCTGCGAAGTCCATCCCCTCTATCCTTGCTAACAGAATCTCCATATCATTCAGATGTTCACCTCCAGGAAAGGTCACTTTGTCCCTAGCTCAGAGACAAATATCACGTAGTTTAAACCAATAGTTCCTCAACTCTGGTGGCATGCTAGAGTACTATAATGATTTTAGGAAATTAAAAAAAAATAGTAATGCCTAGGATCTTGAGCTTTAAGGAATTTTTAAAAAAATTTTTTTTAGAGCAGTTTGAGGTTCACAGCCAAATTGAGTGGAAAGTACAGAGATTTCCCACATACCTCTGTCCTCCACCCTGATATAGCCACCCCTGTATCAACAGGTGCATTTGTTACAATTGATGAACCTACATTGACACATCATTATCCTGGATCCTGAGCTTTTGATTCATGTTCCAGGGTGGAGACTAGGCATTAATATATACATTTTTTTCTTTTTTAAGCACTCCAAGTGTTTCTCATATATTGCCAGGGTCGAGAGCCCCTAACACGAGCCAATAACGAAATGTGTTTTCCCAGCCAGAGACTGATTAGGGATGACCATGGGACCCAGTTTTGGGCATTAGGGTCTGAGAGGAAGTCTACTGGGGGATTCTGGGAACAGTTCTTCTGGTAAAAACAGAAGCCCAGAAGGGATGACTCCTCTTCTTAGAGGTTGGTGTGTCTGGATGTGACATTTGGAATAGTGCAGCCATCTTGTGACCATGAGGACAGCCCTGCTGAGGCTAAGCAGACCTACCAAGAAGGCTATGGCAGAAGGATAGGAAACAACTTGGCCCTTCAAAGACAGTATTGGGCTAATATAGATGCCCTGTCTTTGGAGTCTTTGTTATATGTGATACCAAACTGTCCTTAAAAGAAATTTTTTTTTGAAGAGTGTCTTCAGTTATTTACATGTGAAAGCATGGAGGGAATCAACCATTTCCCGCACAACAGACTCCACTCTTTCCCTCCCCTCTGCTGGTATCCATCTCTCTCCTCTTGGCTCTGGGTCCACACCTTGTTCCAGCGTCTTCCAAGCGGGGCTGGCTTGTTCCCCTACCTGAGACTCCTGCTCGTGATTTCCAGCAATTCCTCCCTGCCGGTCTCCCTTCCCTAACCCTACAAGCAGATGCTAGCTGGGCTTCCTGATTCTGAACACCCATGGCCATCGGCCCCTCACTCAGGCCACTGCTGCCCCCAAGCTCTGGACTCTGAAACCAGAAAGACAGATGGCTGAGGGCGTCTGGAGGCAGGAGACCCTGGTGTTGGCCCCAGCTTTGCTTCTTCACTAGCTTTGGGACTGTATCAGCCTCGTCAGAACAGGAAATGGAAAGTCCTGGCAGTTATTTTCAACAGGAGGTTCAATAAAGGGAATTAGGTCTCTACAAAAACACAGGAAAAGCTGGGGGTGCAGGGTCCAGGCTAGGTCCCCAGGAATGGTCCCCCGGGGCGCATGAGAACTGTCCAGCAGGAGAGTTACCTCTCCGCCTCCGGAATCAGAGGTCACCTCTGCAACTCACAGCCATGGATTGGGAAGGGACGCCGACCCTGTAGCTGCCTCTGGACCCCAATCAAGGCGGTGAGTGAGCACAAGATGGTAGGTGCATAAAACCCACGGATCCATGCCCTTGCCCGTCAACCCAAGCTGCCAACCCCTGCGCAGGTGTCTCTGAAGGACAGAACCTAATTGTCACCTAGAGCCCTGGAGGCAAGGGAGTCTGGGAGTCAAGTCCTAGCTCTCTGGTCCCCGCTGCAGAGAAAGCTGCTAGCAAGAAGCAGGCATGGATGCTGAGAGCCAGCTGAACTCGGGGCAGATTCCTGAGCCCCTCCAGCCTGTTTCTTGATTTCCAAGGGACTATGCTATCAACACTGAGCTCCTAGGGTCAGTGTGAGGATGAAACGAGATAATGCACGTAAAGCGCTTGGCATGGTGCCTTATGA